TCACAAGAAAACCCTTCATTACACGTAAGATCTGGATGGAGGGCAGGCAGCAGGAACTGAAGAGGACCAAGTTCCTAACAGAAACCTCATCTCAGCTGTCCAAAGTTCCTACAACTTCCAAAAATGTCTTCATTTTTCTTTCGCTGTGTGCTGCAGGTCTGAGAGCTCTTAGCAGCTGTTACATGTGTCCTTGGTATACCTTACCTCACATTCTAAAAACTCAGCAACAAAAGGTAAGTAACTTCAAACTCACTGCTTATTTAAGCAGCAATTTATGGAGCTGTTGCAAATTGAATTCTGCTTTCTACCTTTGTGCATGTACACATGATGATTTATTCTCATGCCTCTACCAGAAATCTCTATTGTGTCTGATTTGGAGGCATAGTGAAACATCTGCAGTCAGATGAGAGGATTAGCACAATGCTGGGTATTACTTCTCTCACACATACTGGAGCCTTAGTTTTGATAATTAAATTTTTTATTTGATTAATTTTTAATCACATCCTTACTGATTTTCTGCTATATTAATGGTGCAGAATTTACAGTCTGGAGAGCAGCATAGATATTTTTTAATGAACCCATTATAATGGGTGAAAAAGACTTTCAAGCCTCATGAATCAACTCAGCTGCTGATTGTTGCCCATCTCCAGCAACTCCCTCACAGACCACTGCTCCTTGAGTACCTCCATTGCTTTTTCCCTGATCAACTGAAAACTGAGTAAGGTGCTTGGCTGGCCCTTCCCTGAGTACTGGGGTAAATTAGCTGCATGTCACTCTTCATCTCTTAATTCTTTCTGACAGTCCTTCACCAAGAAGAGAAAAAAAAAAGGCTAATAATAAGTAAACTGTTCATATTTCTTCTTTCTCAGCCCCAGTTCCAGCTTAGAGGGACCTCTAACATATCAGTTGGAGATTTTTGAGGGCTCAAGGGCCAGTGGTTAGTGGAAAAGAGTATATTCCAGGGACATTTTCTCCATGGACTCCCACCTGGGAAAATGAAGAAAAAAGCAGATTTGAAACATAACCCCTCTGTTGGGCCTACATGCAGGGTGGTTATCCAGGCAGGACCTGCACCTGCCTTGCAGCGTCATTCTTCCCTGTTTTTTGAGTCTGGCACTTTATCTTTTAACATACCCTGAGAAATGTGCACATTTCACTTTGCTGTGTTATCTACAATGGCAGCACTGTCTTCTGGTTAAAGTAGGGCATCTTGGGATCTAATTTTATATTTCACAATACCCAGATAAGCACTGTAGATTATGTTCTGCATATCTAAATCCATATGGTATTCCATTATGACACAAAATCTCTGTTCAAAATTCCATTATAGTCTAATTTTCTGCAATGATTTAATTTGACAAGTCCCTGTAAAAATGTATCCATTGAGATAATTTTCATTTTTTCTGTTGTCCCTTCACACAGAAGAAATCTATCACATTACTTTAAGGTCATTTCATATAATGTAGTATCATATTTCTTCCTGTCAAATTCATTTAGAAACAATTTGCATTTGACTCTTATTTATTTTAAAACATTCTTCCTGCAGTTTCTTTACAGTTGCTGGTAGGCATTTTGAAAGCAGAAACCCTATTAAAGATACTTTTGCAATATCATCTTGATTTCCTGAAATCTTCAAATTCCAGTCTAGTTTCTGAAGTGAGACATCCATTGACTGAATTGTACAAAGCACTCATGCAGCTCAACCTGCAAATTGTTGCCTATACAAAATAGCCACCAGTGCAGGAAACTAGTGCGTTTTCTCTGAATTCTACCTTGGGTCTTGCTCACCTTTGACATGGTGTAATGAAATTTTGATACATGAAAATGTTAATTGCATTTATTTTCCTTTGTATGTGAAACAAGTCACCACCAAGTGGAAGGCAGTATACGATGAATTCTTGTCGTACAAGACTGACTGTGCCAGCCTCTTGTTAGTTTGCACTGATGGTAGAATCAGGAAACATAATAGCTTAGAAAGGTTTTTATGTTTTGGTGGAACAATGAAATTATGTGTATCTAAACGAGAATTACGAACAACGTAGGGTTTGAGAAATCTTGCTGTGGAATAGAATGGCATACTAACTTAATTTACCTTTGATTAAAGATCAAGGTAGAAAAGAAACAAATGCCAACAGTGAATAATAACAATAATAAAAGCTGCAGGGTAACAGGAGAGCTGGCTGCAAGCTGGCACTTCCCACTAAGACATACACTGTGTCAAAGCAAAGCTGTTAGGCTGGCGCAAAATGCAGTCACAGAGATCGATGCATTTCAAGGATGAGGAATATTGTCATGTAAATACCCCTTCAATAGAACTTCTTAAACACTAAAAGCAGCAAGGAAAATGCCAGATGAAAATGCTCTCTCACAGTCATACAGCACAGAATGGAACAAGTCTGAAAACAAACCTAAAGTTGTGACAGAAAAAAACCACACATGAAAACATAACTGCATCTCTCGGAAAGTATCTGATGTAAAAAGAGATAAAAGATATGACAGGACATGAAATGAGTGAGGGCTTTGAGTCAGGTACAGCAAAAAAGCAAGTTATCAGACACCAAAATCTTGAAAAAAAAAATGGTCTCTATAAATGCATTATTTTAAAAATAAAACATAGATAAAGCTCTCTTCTGTTTTTGTGCCACATCTTTGGCTCTTGGAGAGAAATAAACTGTGCTGTGTAGTCTAAGTCAAAGCCAATATATGTCAGTCCTTTGTCTAGATTTTCCCTTCTATTTAAACTTGGAGCCCTTGAAATGGGACCACTTTGAATCAGCCAGATAACGTAGAAGCCCTGATAAAAGGCACTAGAGGAAGAACATTTTATGCTTTCAGCACTTATTTAGAAGAGAAAACAAAGAGGTCATCTATTTCATTCCTCATTTATGTATGTAAATATTACAAACAGTACTGTCTGAAAAGGTTTTGTTATTTTATGTAGAGAAGGGGTGGAAAATGAAGTTAGGAAAATGGAGATATTGCAAAAAAATTTGCAAACTTTCCCCTGATAACAATGGAATGTACCTTATTTATTAGGTGTTTATTTTACATTTGAATTGTTGGGATATTACTGCATATTGTCTTTAATTACTAGCATGTCTTAGGAAAGCTGCAGTTTACTTGGTTTATGACAAAACTCCTTCTCTGGTTTGGACTTTGTGATTGGATTGTGTCTAAATCATCCCTGAGTGATCTGAATTTCATTACATCATTAAAAATTGGATGAAATCATTTGGGTAGGCTACAAAAGACTAAGAAAGCATAATTTCCTTAAAACATAACTTTTAGAAGACACAGTGAGGAGCTTAGTACCCACTGTTATACACCAAACAAAATGGCTTGAATCAAATCTTCATCCAGAAGTAAAATATTTATTATGCTACAGCTCAAAAATGATGTTTAGACATTTCCGAAACCCTTCTTTATTTTTAATTTAATTTAATTTAATATCTTACTTTTCAGGCTAATTTGATGGGTTGAGAAGCATTTAAAATATTATGATATTAAATTTACAATATCATAATTTCTAGTGGGATAAAAACCCCAGTTTTCTCCAGCTGCTAATGGCCTCTGGAGACATTCAAGCTGATGATGTTTGTGATTCCAAACAACTGTAGATGAAAATATGAGAAACAGTTGACAATAACTAAATAATACAAATGTAAAATCACAAATCTGAGACAAGCACGTAATTGTCATGGTATTATTTCATATGATTTTTATGTGATATTAAATACCATTAAATTGTAATACTCTTAGCAAAGCCAAAATAGGAACATACTAATCTTCATATTTATATTTCAGGCAATAAAGGAATAAAATAACACAATATTAAGTTAGCATGAACAAAGTTCTGAAGATGTTCTCTTTTTAAAATGTGAAACTGATTAGCTGAAAATAAGCAAATTTATTGAGTTCACCCAGAAATTTCAGGGGAACAATTCACAGAAATAACACAATTGTAACCCCTCTTTGTGTGTATGAATTATCTCAGAGCAAGATGTGGAAATTGGAAGTGTACCTGTAATTAAATATATTTGCTGAAAAACTCCAAATCTGCAGTTTATTTGCAAAAGCTTTTTATACAAGTTCAATATTCAAAATTCAAGCTGCTTGATTAGGTCAGTAGGTGCATGTTTCTATCTCAGAAGCTTGATTTTTCTTATCAAAATTTTGATATGAATAATTAAGACTTTGATTTTTGCAAATACTTTTCACTAATATGCTCAAAATTCATCAAATATTATTGTTAGTACGTCTATTCAGCAGAATAGTTACAGAAAGAAAACAATACCCAGTTCAAATTACTAAAGTGTTTACATACCTTTCCAGTGAAAGGAAATCTGGTTGATAAACAGAATCTGATATCATAAAAGAACAAATTATTTACTTTCTCAGCCTTTGAAGGAAGAATGATATTAACATCCTTGAAATATATGTAAATACCTTAAATGCATATGTGTAACATATGTTGCTAGTTTTACATATTTTTTTTCTAGCAAAACTCATTTTGTACCTAAATTTAAAATATAAAAATGAAGTAGATTGACTTGTGTAGCTTGACATATTAGATTTATCTGCATTATTTGATCCCTAACTTGGAAGATGTTTTTTGCATTTTTCAGCTGCTAAGCTATACACTAATATGGGAAACTGCTTACCCAAGCTTTTCTTTCATTGCCTCAGAAAATACTAACAAAACAATTAAACCATTGCTTCAATGGGAATAGCAGTGTACACAGGTAATAAATATTTGGAGCTTAATTTTTTAAATCTTCATTGTCTGAATTGCTTTCCTTTTACTGGCAGGCTTATAGAACTACAAAAGCCATGAAAACTCAATGCTAACTTAAAAGTGCAACCTCTGTTACTTTAATATTTTTATACTGAGTATCAAGGCATTGTTTACAGTAGATAATGAAATGGAGATGGGGCAGAAAACACACCTCTGAAAGACTTTCTACACAAAAGGATGAACACGTAGTTATTTGCACAAAGCATTAGAAAATACCGTGATATTTTATTATTAAAAATGCTGCTGAAAAGTTTATACATATGTGTCCAGCCATATATATCTTCTATCATTACTTAAGGCAAAAAAAACCAAAAAATTGCAAAACAATAACAGAAGAAACCATTGAACCCTGTGTGCCTCTTAAGGACAAGAATATAAGCCTGGGAAAGTACTTTTGTTTTTCTTTTACAGTTTCAAAGTATATTTTGATATCATTATTATAGAATTCTATGAAGACCCTATAAATCTGTTCCCTCTATAAATCATACATCAGTCCAGATGTATCAAATTATTAAATCAACTTGATTGTAATTACTTTTAAAAGCTAAAATCATTCACTTACAGGAACTTTTTTTACCCAAATGTCACAAGCCTGACACAGTACTGTACATATTGCTAGCAGAAGACAATTGGAAGTACTAAACAAATACTTTAATTCACATTACAAACATACCCAACTGATTATGATGCCAAGCATCATTACCTTTTTTTTTTTACTTTTTTTTTTTTACTTTTTTTTTTAAACCTTTTTTTAAGAGTTATAAACTGCTGCATCTCAGCTGAGGCATTACATAGCTGGTGGAAATGGCCTGGTATAGAGTCAGCATTAATATATTATGTGATGGATCAGTGAAAGAAAAAAAAAATTCCATTTCCTACTAGTTGTACTTTGGGGTTGCTGCTTCATCACATTCCAACCTGAGCTCCCAGGTCAGATTTATAGCACATTTACTGCAGATAAAGGATTATATCAGCCACATGTTGCATTTTTATCATGTCATTAACATTTTATTTCTTTCCTTCAGAATTTTCTTTACTGCCTGCTACAACAAAGAGTTGTGCAGATGAATAGACCTCAGTGAATCACCTTGTCTCGCTTTTATTTTTAGGGGTGACTATTTCAAGTTATTTTATTTGGAAAAAAAAGTGTAGAAAACAAGAAGAGGTACAAGGCATCTTGTGTTAATCATTATGGGACATATGATATTGATGCAGTTTACTTGTGAATTAAAATAGAAAATACATCTGGGATAGTCACATCCAAGTGCAGACCAATTTGCTCAAAGATCTTTGGTTACTATTTCTCAATGTTGGAGTAACTTTCAAAGACAAAATATAAAGCAATCTTCATCTGCAAAAACTATCATCTGGGTTTTCACATTCAAATCAGTTGTTTGAATCAAACTGCAAAGTTACTTTGATAGCTCTGCTTGGCCCCTGTTTTTTCTAGTGAAGGAAAGGCAGAAGGGAACAACCAGCTAATAATTTTGACTTTCCTGAGAGTGATGCTCTCTGGGATTTTCAGTTTTATTCAAATGCAGAACAGCTGAGGATTTCTCTGCTTCTCTCTCCATAACGCTCACTGACTGTGGGACTGAGTGCAATGAATCAGCAAATAAGAATTTTCTGACAGGTACACTCTCAAGCGCAAAACAAGATACTGGGCTGATAAGTTCTTTACACACTCATCGCTCTGAACAGTTTGAACAACAGCCAGCCAACCAACCCTGCATTTCCCAACTTTCAAACTGTAGTTTTATTTTGTTTATCAATGCTGAGGAGGTGCTTTCTCAGCTGAGATTCTACTGCAACTGCTGGTGAGTTTAGAGCTAGTTTTCCTTGAAGGCTGACCAAAACACAGGCTTTCATTGCTTTTGTCAGGGCACAAAACTCTTCCTAATGTATCACAATAACCAAGAACTACAAACTGGACTCCAAATATATATTATTGGATGTTTCTTGGTTCAGTTCAATAAGCTTAAAATAGTAATTCTTTAATTCTTTTCTTTTGCATTTTTTCTCTTTGTTTTCCATTGCTGTGTTGGAATTTAACAAAGGCTAACACAAAATTAAATTATAGAAAAAATGTTTCAGAAAAGAACAACAATCTCCTATGAATACTTTAACATGCACTAGTGCAACCTGTAAGAGAAAATACGCAGGTCACACAGACAACTGTATCCTCTGCATGACACCATGGTCTCATATAAATGAAACATGTTAGAAAAAACTCATGGTTTTTGTTAACCACTAGTAATTAAGAAGAAATTCCTCCTTTGGTCTTGGAGGAAACAGAGGTCATATGACTAATGTATATACACATAGGTCACAATCGAATGCACAATCTTTCTAAAAGCTCTTTTCAAACTGAAAACATCAATAAAAGCTGCTTCTTTTTTGTTTGTTTTTAAACTCACAGCTATGTACATTTTTACAAAGTTTCTTTAAATATAGTTCAGGCTGGCAAGTCATCTCTTTGCACAGAACTATACGTATTTTACTGCATAGTCAGTCCTCCTCTTTTTTTTTTTTTCATTTTTGTTTTTCATAATAAAATTCTATTTTCCCCATCTGAATTACAGCTTCATATGCTGGGTAAAAGCCCATGGTGATGTCTTTGTTTTATCAACGGCCATGGTATGGCACATAAAGAATCTTTTTTATAATTTTATTTATTTTAAAAAACCAAAACAAAACACCTGTACAGTCACTGGCTCTGTCTTCCAGAAGACTCTGCTTTGCTTGTTACACTTACAACACCATTTTAAATTACTTCTTCTGGCCTCAACTTTCAATCAAAGTGGCTGAGATCTTAAAGCAGTATTGTAACAGCAATGTACACTTTTCACATTTCACAGGGTTTGTAGTTGATCTTTAATATCAGTGAGTTTCTGTGGGAAGGATCAGTAAGAAAATAATGACTGTCCTTCTCTTTTACTTATTTTTACTTTAGATTTTGACAAGGTGTTCAATGGATGGTATATAACTTTTTCCTCTTCTTTTTTTTCTTTTTTTTTTTTCTTTTTTCTTTCTTCCAAGTGGCTTGTGAGGGTAGATGGGGAAGGGCTGAGCTATACCCTAGTGGTCGAATGTCCATGGGGCAAATTTGTACTGTTTTGTCCTCCACTGAAAGTGTTGAAAGTATGCAAAGGCTGCATTCCTGTTAATGTATTTGGAATCATGGTTATGGTGTTGGGTGTCATTAGCGGGATGTCATCTGGGGACCTTCTCAAAGTGAGCGTGTAGTCGGGCGGACAGGTGAGTCTCAGTGTGTCGTGGGCCTGCAGCGATTCACACTCGTGGTCATGTTCTAGCTGCTTCATCTGCAAGGACATGATCTCCTCATTTTGTATGTGTGCTATGTCGTTGGTGGTGTTCCTCTGGGGGCTGGGGCGCCTGTGAGTCTCATGACGCCGCTTGTCCTTCTTGTAATATAATGCAGCAAAAGCTAAAATATTGAGGAACAGCAAGGAGGCCCCCACAGCAATGGTGACACTCAGCTCTGTGGAGTAATCCCTCTTGTTTTCTATCAGAACTGTGGTATCCTCTGGAGCTGTTTTATGGGTGTCTTTTGAATGTTTGGGATTGTTGGCAGGTGTCATTGCTGGGCGTTTGGTGGCTGGCCATAATTTCCCAGGAGAACGCCGGGTCACATACGGAAATGAGGTCATGTCAGGAGGGGGGACTTTAGTTGTGGTGGAAACATACTGAAATATTTCATTCAGGTTGTGAAGGTGTGGTACCAGCTCCAACCAGAAAGCAACTTTGGTTGCTCGATAGTGATCACGAACTCGGGGTTTCAGGCCAATGTGTAAATAAAGTTGGTCTTTAGGATTGTATTTGGACCAGGCCACTTCTTCAAAGCGGTTGGGTTTTGTGTGGATGAACTTTGTGTCCTGTGGAACAGGCTGGTTTGGATCTCTAAAAAAAAATTAAAACAGACAATATTACAGTCATTAACCTTCCCACAAAAAACCTACAACAAGAAAAAAGCAAACAAACAAGAAACCCTCTCAATCTTACAGTTAATAATTTATCTAATAGTTACAGTAACCTAAAAGCAGAAGATAAAAACCGTCCCTAACTGAGGAACAGCTGTTAATAAATAATCAGAAGAAAATTACTTACTGCACAGAACATCTCAGATACTACAATATTTTTTTGACATGAAAATGTAGAAATCATAGTGTTTCAGTCAGCAAAAGGTCATCTGAAGTGATTCAATACCATTCTCCAAGGATGTGTCTTAGAGACATACCATCTTAGAGAAGTACCAAATACCTCTTTCCATAGTAAATGTGTAGGTTCAACCCTTCTCCAGATTTGACACTAACTTTTTCATTTCAGGTACCACTTCTTCCACTGCTGTAAGTAGTAAATATGGGCATCTAAGCCCCATGGCAATATTGGAAGTCCTTCTGAACACACAGAATTTTACTCACTGCATGTATTACAAAGGAGAAAAACCTCTTCAAAACCTGACGTAGCAGGGCTAATACATGTACCTGGGAACCATTCTGCCTGTTTTCTTTTACTGAGCTATTAGTCCTCCTGCATTTATATAGCTACATGGGTGAAAAAACACCTTTGAACTACCTTTGTGTCACAAATCTTTCCATCATTTCCACTAGCAAATGACTGTTGGTAGCCAAAGGACAATGGGCCTTAACTAAGATGAGAAATATTTTAGCTAAGATCAACCAGTTTTAAAGTACTTCAGCAGTAGTAAGAAAAGAACAGTACACAAGTCAGAGATAATTTCAAAATTGGTAAACCATTTTTTTTCTTACAGGTGCAGAATAAAGACAAACCAATGCCACAAAGAGGGTTTAGATGTGGTTAATGCATGCATATCTTTATTATTTTATATTTAAATAAATAGCATGAAAAAATACAGAAAGTTAAAATTACTTTTACAATACTAAGTTTAATAGTACATTGCACATTAATTTGAATCATCTTTTCTAGCAATGATTGCTTTCTGTGCCTTTGTGATGTATTATACTGAGAGTACATTATTTATTTCCTGTGCATTACTCAGAACTTTCCATTTTCCTTGTTATTAATTTATATAAATTGGCTTATTTCCTGTGAAAACAATTCTAATATTTTCCTTTTCTTCCAATATACAGTTATGTATATTCTGGGAATACCAAACCATATCCTTAGAGATTTTAAAGCATGTTTCTTCTTTCTCCATTTTCAAAAGCCTGTGAATCTAAGAGCCTACTTTAGCATTCCTTTGCAGTACATAAAGAGCTATTTCTTAGTTCTTAAATGAGACAAGTAATTTGACTTTAATAATCTTATGATTCCTGCATTCTTTTTTTACTTGAAAGAAAGTATCTTACTTTTTTTTGAGAGAAAAGAAGAATTATTTTTCTATATATTTTGGTATTTTGGTTTATTTATGCTTGTGATTTTAGTTTGGGTTTTTTTGGGGTGGTTTAGTGTGCTGACTTTTTTTTAATATTGAAATATATCTCATCCTTCCCATTTCAATAACATTTAAAAAATACAAACTAGGGGTTCTGAAATGTTACTCTTTCTTTCTTTCTTTCTTTCTTTCTTTCTTTCTTTCTTTCTTTCTTTCTTTCTTTCTTTCTTTCTTTCTTTCTTTCTTTCTTTCTTTCTTTCTTTCTTTCTTTCTTTCTTTCTCTTTCTTTTCCTTCCTTCCTTCCTTCCTTCCTTCCTTCCTTCCTTCCTTCCTTCCTTCCTTCCTTCCTTCCTTCCTTCCCTCCTTTAACCACTTCCACCACTTCCGCCATTTCCGCCACTTCCTTCAACCACTTCCTTCCCTTTTGCTCCCTCCCCCCCTGCTTCTCTCTTTCAACAGTTAGCCAAATTGTGTTAGTTCAGAAAAAAAAGACAATTTATTGGTAATTGTTCATCCCAGTTCAAACTAAAGAAGTAATATTCCCTTCCAAGCAGAACAGAAACAGATATATGCTGCTGCTTTGAGGGATTCTAACATGCACTGAAGAAGGAAATAAGGCTATTTATTTTGTTATTAAAGAACAGACTGAAAGATCTGGAAAATCTAAACACAAAGATATTGGCCCAATTCAATATATCTACTTTGAAAAAACTTTGGGGTTCAAAATATAACTTCTAAGGCAAATTAATAATCAACGAGGTAATCTAAATGCAAAACATTTTTTTCTCAGAAACTCAAAATACTGCAAGAGTTCTGGCACACAATCTTGTGTCATCCCCCTTTCTGTTCTGATTCACATCGCAAAAGACTCTGGGAATGGTTCTAGAGAGAACTGATTCCTCAAGTTAGCTCTTGTAAACAGGTTGCAGTTGATACACAGAATAGCAGGTGAAGAAGCTGAGAACTCACTTCAAAAAGCAGCCAAGCTGGACATATACTTTTAAAATTTTTAGTGGTCTTATAAAAATTATTATTATTATCCTCATAGCTGATGATTATTTTAGTAAATAACATTTTTTAAAATTAGCATTCTCACTGTGGTCCCTTCCATCCATTTTGTATCCTGTGATTCCCTTTCCCTACAAAAAGCCTGCAAAACCAGTAAATATCAGCCTCCTTTTTCCTCCCTGCCATCTTCTACTTCCTTCTGTCATTTTTAACTATATTTATTGGGAGCAGCCAATTATGCTGCCGCCTCCTCCAAACACAAGAGAGAAAATAACATTACATGAGTCTGGGCTTGTATTTGAATATTTGTTTACATAGCTCTGTGTGGGCATGAAGTTGTCCATTGAAACAAGAAACATAAAAAAATCAACCATCCCTACAGACAAGTAATTTCTTTGCTGAGGATATCAGAGCTCTGTGATTGAAATCAACTCTAGGGCTGATCACTTAAAAAATTATTATAATGGTTTGAATAGTCTCTCTGAATTTGGAAGGTAAATCTATAAATTATATGGGGTTTTTTTTACAAGAAACAGGAATAAGTCCAGTCCTAAATAAAGGATCTAATAATGGCCTTGGATCTTGCTTTTTATAGACTAATGATCATTTGCCAAAAATATTCAGTAGAGTAAAGAAGAGTATTTTTACTTCCCTTGGCCTCCTGCTATGTACACTGCAGAAAATTCATGAAGTTAAAACTTACAAATTGTTAAGTTTTTTCCTGGGGTAGTTGGGCAGCTTATCCTACTATAAACCATTCTCCTGTTTTATTGGTAGGCATAAAACATAGATGTACAGGAAATAATTTCTCCTATCAAATCATCTGTTCAACAAAATTTTTGATCTGTTAATTTAATTTCAAATTTTCCCTTGCCTTTTAAGACTCTCACAATTCCTTTGTGTTTCTAGATGTTCTTGAGTCTCAAGTGTTTAATTTCATAACAAAGACTTGCCAGGAAACCTTTCTTTAAAAATTCACTGCAATCACGATGATAACATGCAATCAACATGATAACAGTATAATCTGAACAATATATTTCTAGTTCTGAACTTTGCATTGGCTTTTATAGGGAGGAGATTTCTTGCTTCCCCGTTTGTCAGCTGGTAGGGAAGCTTTTTCTTTTCTTCATCCGACTACTATAACAAGATTGATGATTATTGTTATTTATTTTGCTATCTCATTACTTATTTTTATCACCTTTAGAATTCAAACAGCCACCAAAAAATGTCTCTATCATGAAATGCCTGAATTTTTTCCATATGACAGAAGACCATATCTTCCCTAAGGTATATTTTTGTTAATGCACAGAATAATCCCATTTCACCTGCCACCTTTTTCCTCCCATTTTCAGTCTGCACTAATTTTGCACAACTTAAGATGTTTTTGTATATTGTCATTCAGTTCAAACCTCATAAGCATGAGATGTAAAATCAAAACATCAATTTTTTTCTCACGTGATATAAAGTAAATATGCCTGCAATGGATGTTGACTGAGGAGCAACACACACTCCTGTTCACAAGGTAGATTAGTAGCTGACCTGGAGAGTAAATGAAGGAACTGGGTATTTCATATCTGATTATATTTTCATGGGAAGGATAGTGAATTAAGAAGTATTCTCATCTCCCAAATTCCTTATAAGATGGTGAAACACCATTTATGTTCTAACTACTTCTGCCACAGCACTATCACTCAGGAACTGTTACATTGATGTATTTGAAATGTTTTAAATTTTTTCTTCTTCTCTGTCTTCACTGGAGAGCAAAATGTCTTCACAGTTACATAATCTTTGTCTCCAACACTCTGAAAGGCCCTCGATATTTTATTTTCTTTCAGTAGTACTCTTTTCTCTGTATGATTTAAAAAAAAATGGAAGGGAGAGAAAAAACTGGCTTTTCTTCATTCTTCTGTTGATTCTTTTCATGCTGTCACAATACTAATAATGCCACAGACATTCCTTCTTGAAAGACTGTTTGACAGGCATGTTTTCCCTTACCTCCTCTCCTCAATTATCACCAGTTCCCACTGTTGCCATGCTCCCTGTCAGCTAAGGACTAACAGCTAAGGACTCCTTATAAGAGCTAAGGAGCACAAACCATAACTACACTGTTTTGTTTGACTAACACAGATTTGCCATTGGACATAGTTATTTCTTCAGACAAAAACATCAAAAAGAAATGCAACAGCCTCATAAAAGAGTTGCCTGAGAACTGGTTTGAAACTACACTTTAATAACTGCAAGTTTAATCAGGTCTTCTATTAGAGAACCAAACTGCATACAAAATACAGACATTCTAAAAAACTCAGGTTTGTGCTTCAGATTCAATGGCACCTAAATAATTCTGGAGTATTTACCTGAAATGCAAAGAAAACAAGGATATATCCTCTAGACCTTTATCTTTCCCAATATCAACACAGGTAGAGTTGGATGAACAGGATAAAAAGTAGAGTACTGTAATTCCTGAAAACCAGGGCAATTTTTAGAAACCTAATAGATGTCTGTGATAAGCGTATGGCTTTGTATCTACCGTGAGAAACTTCAAATCCCTCACAAGAGCATAGCTGGCAGAGTATCCATGAGGGACTGGCCCACAACCCCTCATGTTGTTCATTCTTCCTGCTGATGTGTCTGCAAAGGAGGTAACATGGTCCTAACAAACAGAACTTGGCCTATAAAATGACCATTACAGTTAGGATGGCGCTACTGGCAGCAGACTGAAGTGCCAAGTGCATGTTGTAATGAAGCTCTCACATATATTTCTGTGCATTGAGGAATTCAAAGCTGTATTTTCTTGTCATTTTTGTATCCCAAATGTAGTATCTCAAACTTACTCTGCAATAAATTGTTTTCCTATTTCTAGGGCATGTTGGAAACAGTTTTGAAAAGGCCAAATGAAAAACTCTAAATAATAATCACCAACATTAAAAACAAAAGTCATAGGTGAAGGATTAGCAAAATGCAGCTTCCAGGCATCATTTGAAGCACAAACTATTTGCCATTAAACACTTTAATTGTCACCTCCTGTTTGCTAGCTTCAGTAGCCAACTTACAAGTTAAACACAATAAAAGTACTGTGCCCTGTGCTGTGTCTTTCATCTACTGATTTTACAAGATTGACCTGCCCTGCAAACCCAGCCTTGGCAGTAGGCTCATTAAACAGTGTGTGCTTTTTAGCAATGGATGGCCTGTCATTAAAAGCCAATCTGAATGATGCACCACCTGAGCCATAATTTTACAATAAGTACCTGAATGCAGCCTCTGTGGGAGAGTCATAGAGATTGGAAAAGTCTCAAACACATTAAAAATAAATAAATATATCTGCAGTTCTAATGTTCAAAGCTTACCTACAGGGAATTGCAAAATAATAAAATCTTTCCACTAAAAGAATTTTATGCGTTGCCATGGGTACAAATGCAAAGCAAGACAAGTACTATCATAATAAGGATGGGAAATTATCAATTAAAAATAGGGTGGGGAAAAAACCAAAGCAGAGCCCCCAGCAATGCCGTTCTGAACTTGAGAGTTGAAGGATCTGAGTGGGTACAGAGATTCCAGATTGCAAGTGAATGAGCAGAGTGGAGAACAGTTACCCCAGAGATCCCATTCCTATAGGCTTGAGATGCTGCAACCTTTGCCTTTCTGTTTGAGGAACCAGAGGTGCAGAATAAATGTAATCTTAAAATATTATCTGCCTCCAAGTATTCTCCCGTACAATGCAGAACGATTAATCATTGTTCACCCAAACGAAGAAAAGACCCCATCAAGGTAATATGCATTGTGCTGCTCTTTTCCTTTCCTTTGAAAACTGAGATGTTACAGCTAGAGGCCATTTCTAATGATACATCTTTCAGACTGCCTGTAAGGGAGTGAGCCTGTAACAGGATATATACACCATTCCTATCTCATCAGCAATGGGGAAGTTTCAGAAATTACTAATGGCTCTCCCAAAGCACCTGTTTTTGCCTTTAGGTATAGTATGACGATGACTTTATAACCAGAGAACTGGGTATAGCCTGCTGAAATTAGTTTTCAAGCAGCAACAGCTGGAAAGGGTTTGAAATTGTGAGTAATGGTGGCAGCTGGGACTGTGAGAAGCTCCTGTCAGCCTCAAAAACTGCTTAAATACAACTTCTTAATATACAGGGAATAGTAATAAAGTAATTGTAAACAATAGTGAGACCATGGAGGTCTTTTATCTCCATTATTATTCCAATGAGTATATTTGTAAGGATCTGAAGTCCTCTATGTATACATAGCACTTCATCTACCAAAATAAAGACAAACTGATGGTATCATCATCTCTGCACATGTGGTACAGCCATCATGCAGCATTGTCTGTCCATAAACCAAGATTTCATCACAAACTTTGCCCATCCCAATACTGAAACTTCTTGCTGCCAAATACATCTAAATATTACACAGTTCATTCATTTTTGTTGCTGAACTCCAGGGTTTCTGCATGCTTTTGTATCTGTTTGTCTGATATGCAGTACAACAAAAGATTTTTTTTTCTTTGTGCACTGACCTGAAGCATTTGATTGGTTTTTACTCAATTTATGCTTGAAGTTCTTGTTAAGACTGCAAAATCTCTCTCTCAACCCCCATTTAGATTCATGGAAGGCTACAAGGGCAGCTAAAGCCTCTGAGTGTTTCACAATAGGCATCTGAGTTTTTCTTATATAGCTGCACACTGTTCACTGCAGTGCAGTAAAGCTGCAGTTTCCAGAGCCCAATCCTGCCATTAAACATTCAGTGGAAAGATTTACAGCCCCTTTGTGCCACAAGTATCTTTGTTTTAATTCAGTACTGAAGACTCAAGGTTAACAAAAAAAGCCCTTGCCGCTGAAGTAAAACACTGCAATACTGTTAAAAGGAATGTTATAGGAAGAGAACAGAATTTATTAATATTGCTCACAGATTAAGCTGCTTTGAGGGTTCTTTCCTTGGTGTTTACAACTCTATTTCATCAAAATATTGATGTCTTTAATTTGTTTTGTAAGCAGAATTAATTTAATTTTTTAACTTTCTCAAAGCAAAATTTATATCCGAGTCTCTTCTTCATTCCAGTCAAGTACTTATTATTGCCATTATAGCCCTCAGAGGGAAAAAAATTTCCAGTGTCTGCCTTTCTGTTCTAATTCCTCCCTGAGTCCTCATCCCTGTGAAGGTCGCTGAAAAACAAGAACTTAGTTTTTTTTGTAGCAGATAAGTGCTATCTGCCTGACAGTTCTTTCTTCAAGTAGCAGACATGTTGCCTCTGATTTTTCAGTATCTTAGTGAACCACCTTTTCTCTGAGACATGCTTTTTGTCTTAGTAATTGTCCTATTTTTTGAACCAAAAATACAGTGTGTTATTATTCTCATTGAGCTACTGAAAGAAAATACTTTGAGGGAGCACACTAATTAAAAATCTATTAAATATGAATAAGCCTCATTTACCTCCTGCCTTAGCACAAATATTTCTATAAATCTACTTCAAAATCAGATTTTGAGGCCACTGGAATGGGATACTGACTATTTTAGAAGTATGCTATCAACAAAATGAATGCTAGGGGTCACACTTACCCAGTTTTGGCAAAGTTAGTCCAGTATGTCATAACCACTGCACTAAGCATGACATCATTCTTGGAAAAGTTGCAGTTGAACAGTTCTGTGGGACCAATCATAGGAATCCCAAACACATAAGGGACTTCATCACCATGAGCTGAATCAGCCCAGCTGGGTTTCATTTCACTTTGGCAATGGTGATAAAATGCATAGAAATATGTTGGAGATCCATACTGGGCATGCAGGTCAGCCGTGGCAACAGCTGGAGCAACCCACTGGTGGTCTGTAAAAAGAGCAACCAGCGTCTTCCGTCTTGTTTCGGGATTTTCTTTGTCTGCCCAGTCAGTGTACATGAATTTAATGGTCTCTCGCAGTGTGTCCTTCCCTTCTGGATAGCCATAGAGATTGTCCACAAAATTGGAGACAGAAAAGTCAAAATCATTAGGAGAAACACCATCTTCATTGTCTACAATGCCATCCACAAATTTCAAACCTTCCCCTTGATTCACACCCAGCATTATATCATAGTTAAGGAATTCCCCTTGCTCCATTAGAATCTGAGGGTCATCTGGAATCACATCTCCATCTATCACAGGCCCAAAGGCAATGTGGTACGTGGCTGGAGTGATAGTCTGTTGAATGAGTTCTTTGTAATTCTTATTCCGCAGACATTCAACCAAATCAGTGGTATCCAGCATGTCGCAGCCCACTTTATCTGCCAATATCCGAGTGTACTTGGCAGGCTGATAGTTCACTGCCCAGCTGGACAGGGCTGTTCCACTCTGTATGATTGCCTTTTGGAACAAACCTGCAGGTGCAAATTGTTTAAATGCAGATGCAATTAGATATTAAAAATATATATATATATTTAAAAAAATGAAAAGTATTTTTACTAAGGAAACAAAGTTTTGATTATAGAATCCCTAAAGGATGCATACAATGAAATTTTGAATAAATTTCCATACATCCTATTCGCTGCTCCCTTTTTATGCTATGTGGAATAGGCAACTAATTAAAATCTGCCATGTTCTTGATGATCACACACAAAAAGCATGAAGGTTTCAGGTTACTGTTTCAAGAACAAAGCTCATTCCTGTACTGCAGTTTTCTTGTATCTTTGATGGAAGTTCTCTGGCTTTACCACATTGGTAGTGCTGTGAAAATTTCTTTGAAGGACTGAAAGCTAAAGGCAATCATATGCTCTTTGCCATGTAAATGACACTGATAAATGCGTCTTTCAGTAGTTTAAAGGTCAAATGAAAATTACACATTCTCATTTCCTTCACAAAAGCCATGCATCATACTAACTTAAAAAAATCTGCTCTATTAAAAGCAATTTTGTATGTTTGAATCTTCTATTGTGATATTTTAAATTTACCATTTAATTTTTAAATTATTATTGTGTGTATATGCTAGCATTGCTTATATGTTGAATTGCATGTGTGTGCATGTGTGTGTGTGCGTGTGTGTGTGTGTGTGTAACTCTGCTTATATGTTGAATTAAAATTGTAACATTTAAATTGTTTTGCAAGAGAGCAAGATGGTATTCAATTGTTCTTTCTGGTTATTTTGTGTACACTAATATATAATCTGGAGTGTGAAGAAAGGATAGATGAATAACCAATCTGAAGAGTTTCTTTGCTTAAAACACTAAAAGGCAAGGGGAGCTTACTGGTGAATCTGCCCCATCTGTGGAGTTTTTTTCTGGTAAAACCACTAAAATGGCCAATTTTATATTTAAACTGAAATACTTGGGTGTCATCTGCGCATGGTTTCTACCATCATGTTCTCAAAATGCAAAAGACAGGAAAGTTAGAAAAGCATGTGGGATTTTTGTTGATATACCTTTGAGGATGATAACTGAATGCACACACTAAAAAATTTCAATTATTTAATCAGTTATGTTTTTCATGGTTCCATCTGCTTGATTTTGGCATGGCTTGCTCAACAGTTATTCACTGAAATTTTATTTATATGAGTAGACTGAATTGTCAAGCATAACTATGTATTTCAAAATTAGGTGTGTTTTCCAGCCTCCCTGCTATAACTTCTGGCTATGGCTTATCTTTTAAAAATTCTTGTCTGTTTTATTGTGATAGAAATGACATGGATTAATAAATACAATAGATATTTTGGTGTTCTTTTATCCAGTCTTTGTAGATTTGATCTTATCACCAGGAATATTTATAGTTCAGTACTGGTGCTGTACATTCTTGGAGTTTGGGTTTGGGTTTTTTTGGAGGGTGAGGTGCTGAGGGTAGAAATCCCACAGCTCCCTTACCAAAATCTGAAAACACTGTGTGGGATCACACAGTACTTGTGGGGAGTTAAACACAGTTTTTAATAAGGCTTAGTTATATTTTTACTAAGTAAGGAAAGAATCTACATATATGTTGGAAGTGCAGCCAAAAGTGTACAAAAAATCAAAAAGGTCATTGCTCTTTTCCATTTTAATTAGGGCAAATTCTTTGATAGAAGAGCCAGCAGAATCTGTTGATAAAGCTAGAAAAAGTATATTGCCCATGGCATTTGTTGCATGAGATTTATGCTGTAATAGCATTTAGTTTTCCTTATAAACAGATTTATGTTGACTAATACAAATCCAGAATTCTATCTAGTAGGTATTTTACAAAAATTACAGACCTCATGTAATTCTAATTCAGCCTACCTTGTTTGGCCCTTTCCCTACATTTTAACATTAAAAAAAAAAAAAAAAATAAAAAGAAGAAAAAAAAGTACTTTGCCTGGAAGATTGTTACCTTCTGAATAGTGGGAGAGTGTCAAGAGACTGACACAGGAAGCTCCTGCCCCAGATCCAAAAATAGTAACTCTCTTCGGGTCTCCTCCAAATGATCCAATATTTTCTTCAATCCAACGTAAAGCTTGGATTTGGTCAAGCAATCCATAATTGCCTTTTGCAGCTTGGTCCCCAGTACTTAAAAAACCTATAAGGCAAAACCCCATAATTTTAGTTCACCGCATACAGTTAGCTACAGGGTATCTACATATTCACAACACATCTTTCCATCTTTCCATCTTCTGTGCTTTTTTTTTTTCTTCTTTTTAAAGGTCACAGTTCTAGTTAAATGTCTCCTGAGCAAGCAGAGAAATTCATTCTGTGTGCTATTTTGCTTGATTTTGTTTTTCCCTACTTCAGAGATCCCATTTATGAGGAATCACTATTTCCTTACTGAAATATTTCTGTAACAATGCAACAATACAGAAAGACAATTTAAAACATTTTATAACTGGATGTGAGTCGGGTGCAAAATCTTAGGAAATAGTTTTTGGGCAAAGATGTGAGATAGCCAGTCTATGACTGAGAATGACACTCTCTAACACATTAATTTAAATACTTCTTGCCAAAATTTTCCTGAACTACACAGCTCTTTAAATTTCTGTACTTGTGATATGGATAAATGTACTCCGAAACAGAAAAAAGAAGGCTGAAGTAAATAGAAAAAAAAAAACATGAAAAAGCGTAGGAGAAAAAAAATTACACTTCAATTTCACAGAGGATATTTATTAGGAAGAAAGCAGGTAAATCCATGACAATATAGCCTTTGGTGGGAAGACTTTATCTGAACAAATCAGGTCTTGTCTTTCTCTTTGGAAATTGCAGGAAAACCTGTGCTGCTGTTTTTTGTTCCTGTACTGTGGTTATCAGATTCTAGAAAAAAAGCATGGCATGTTTGCTGCTTGTCTTGCAACCGAGAACAAAATGACCATAAGATTAGGACTGAGATTAATTTTTGAAACCAGCTAAGGTGAAACATTGCAGTTATCTCTGCTGCCTTTCATTCACAGTTAAGACCTGTGTTATGTCCGAATTACCACATTAAACTGTTACTCACAGTCCTCTCTTTAATTCTCTTTTCTGTTAGACAACTTTTCCTGTTAGACAACTGCAAAGTCAGAAGTCTATTAGAAATATCTTACAGCATATGGAAGTTTTCAGATGGACATTACTGATTTAGGCACCAGTGACAGCTGTCAAAGACAAAACAAGGACATCGCTTGGCAGGTTTTTCCCAGCTAATTATCAGTTGAGAAATATTTGCTAGAAGGGGGATCCAGGACATAGGAGATCTATGATCTGGAGCAGTTGGAAATGAAAGAGTCTGTTATCATAAACCGTGTGAGCCTGCTGTAACAAGGCCTCCATGCTCCTGGCTGGAAGGTGAGTCTTAGGTCCCTAGGGGAAAAAAGACTTTGCAGTACATTTCCCAGGCTTTGGTAAAGGGGAACAGATCTCTTTGCATTGGCTGTAATAATTTTTTTGTTTATAGGAAAAATGAAAATACACATGAAGGAAGGTATTCACATAATGGAGGAAGCAGAATACAAATCATATCCATATTGCTAAATAACATGATAAAGCTTTTTCATTTAAAAAGCCTCTACTAATGGAAAGCTCAGTCATAAGAATGGCAGTAACCTTTTTTTCTCTTCTGTGCAAATGGAGAAAAAATAAACACTCTTAATCCATAATTGTCTCAATTTATTTTTTTAACAGATGTGTTTTTCTCTTTTTTCACATGCCTTTATTATCTTTATAAGCCTGTCAAAGAAAGAATAACCCACTTGCTGGCTTTGTTGCTGTAGCTCACTGCAATATTCTATAATACTCTATAATTAAGGCTTTATTCAATCAGAACTATGACATCCATTGGATAAAGAGAGTGTTGTAACCTTTAAAGAAGGATGGTAATTAATATTCAGAGCCTAAACCAGTTTTAGTTCTACTAGCAGCATCAAACTAAAGCTGTTTGAACTTAATTTTGAATTCTTAGCAAATGTTCTAAAAGGTGAACTTGGTAAAACTGCAGTCAATGAATATCTAATGTTCAAAAGATGAAGTGTTTTTTTTTTTGTTTCCACAGTTGTCTGCTGATTCTCATTAATTGCAAGAACAAATTTTCTTAATTTAAAAACTAATCACCATGGCAAAGAGTCAGCCCCACATTACACAAACTGAATTCATAAATCTGTCTTTTCTCGCCAAGGATGTATTTTCTTTCATGCTCTGAGTACCAGATCAAAATATTTTTTCAAAGCTATTTGAAGAAATTCTGGCAAATAGTAACTATTTGTCCAGATATACACAACACTAAGGGTTTTTTGGCTTTTTTTCTATATTACTTCAGTGAAGAGAAAAAAAAAAAAAAGCTTCTTTAAACTGAAGTTCCTGAAATAACTGTTATTTTTCTCTGACTCTATGAAGGAAAGCATTCAAGAAAAATTCTTTCATTTTAAGCTACGAGATAGAAATCGTCAAGGAGAAAAAGATTGCAAATGGAAATTGCTGGGAATTTTCCTTTTCTACAACCTTTAAAAATGCTACTCAAAAGCTACATGCTGTCTCTAGCATTGTTTTGATAACACAGTGAATACCCAAAGCTACACACAAGGCTCCTTTAGATCACACTGAGGCAAAAAGAAATCCCTAGCTTTATCTTTATGGTTGGTTTTCCCATATGCTACAGAAATCTTACTGAGATATCAAGCCCCAACATACTAGTGGTGATATTTCCCCATTACTACTAAAATGTTATGCAGATACCCACTGGGACAAGTAGAAGGGAAAAATATCCATAAAATCCACCCAAAGAGTTTAATTTTGCTCACTCCAGCCTTGTCTAGTGGTTGGAGGCCATGCCTGCACATCCCTAGTACGGCTGGCAGACCTTCAAGAGTCAAGACCTAAAGAGAATGGGTGGTCTGCCTGCCCACTGCACACATTTTCCTTTATTTTATCATGACCAGGCTATTGCCTGGTCCATGGGCTGAATGAATGACTTCTCATGGACACGGTGCATAAGGGGCAGGACATCTTCCAGCTGAGGATCACCTGGAAGAGCCCAAGCTGTAAGAAACTCTCTCCAATGTGAAACAATGTGCAAGGAGTGGTGACAGTACTGAGGTTTTCTGTGGAAATACGCCCTTGATCTGAATTAAAACACTAGTGTAACCACAGTCAGGATAAAAAACATATTTTCCCTACCACAGGACTTCAATTTAACATACACAGATTTAGGAAGAAAAAAAAGCAATGGAGAAAACCCCCTAAACACCATTATGTTAAAGATTGAAAATTATGATCTGAGAACTATGATTTCACCCTTAGAGATAAATAAAATGACCAAGAAAACTGCAATCTTGCAGTAATTTTCATTTTTAAATTTATATTACCTACTTTGTCATTCTTTTTAAATTATTTAAAAAAATAAATTACACAAGTAAGTTCCCTTTGACATTTTGCACATGGCAATACCCAATATTGCATCACTGCAGGAAAAGTCCATTCTTTATCTTCATATTTTGGCCCCATGGGCCTAATTCATATCAAATCAATTTCATAGCTGTCTGAAAGCCTAAATTTCAACTGTGAATATTACTCTGCTGCTTTGTGCCTTTTCCCCTCTCTCTCTCCCTCCTTTCTGACCCCCCAAGTTGGGGGACTGTTTCCCAGTGGAAACAGATGAGGTTGCCTTGGTGAAATCTGGTATTATATTACTGGCTCAAAATAGCAGTATATAAATATAAATAAGGAAAAATTGAACTTGATTCTATCATGAATTTTACTAGGTATTACAACCAATTCCAAAAGTATATCTTGAAATGAAACATACTTTTCTTTGTAAATGAAGCACTTTTGCTTCAAATTCTGCCCTCCACAGGTTTTCTTAAAAACAAAATGTTTCATTTCTGAGGCACAGCCCTCAGACAAAAAATAATGCCAAACTTAGTAAGAAACATTAAACAGCCAAGATGTCACAACAAGAAATTAATCACCAGGAAATCTGTAGAAAATCAACAAGTACGTGCATTTTGATTTATTTAAGTCCTCTTTGTTAAGCCTCTGCTGCATTTTCTGAGCTTACATTTCTTTTGTCTTTATGCCTTTTCATGGCTGCTGTCAAATAGCCTGCTGCAGTTTGTTTGTCAGGTGACATACAAAGATTGATTTGTACAACAACTGATCAGAACTATGACATAAGCAATATAAATAAGATACTGGAGAGTGTGCTCCAGAGTACAATCATGTCTTTTTTGTTTACATTTGTGAAATACCAGAGTAGGGCCTTTTCAAAGCAAAGAGCAAATGGCAAACATACAGCAGAGCCTTCGTATTTTCTAATAGATTTTGTCTGTACCTATCATATTTACTACTGTAAAAGTGGACCAGTTCAAATGCCAAGTAAAATTCACTGGGAATTATTGAGAACATAGAGACTATAGTTAGTTCAGGAAGACCCTGAAATATAAATAGTTGGAGAATAGAGAAGCTTTGAGGGAATTATCACATAAATTTGTCCTACACTTGCCCTTCCCTAACCATTCCCAAACATCCCCAATAGTGTTAGGAGGGAGGATGTTTGGCTGGATGATATCTTGGTTGGAATCAATGTAACTATATATTTTTTGGTTTTTTTGACTCTATATGTATGATGTCAACATTACTGAAAAGCTGGTGGGATGTAAGATAGAGTGATGATGTCCTTGGGACAGGTTTAGCAGAAAAAACCCCAAACTCCTACAGCATGACTAGCATATGCAAAGCTGAGTAAGCATCACAGCTGCACCTGAAATTTCTACCTAGAGACTAAAACAAATGAGAGGACTCTCAACTGTCTATGTACGGGTCTGTGCAGAAATAATGTTACACAGAGACTTCTTCATCCTGAAAACAAAACAACAATGCCTTTCCTCCAGCTGCAAATTGGTTTGAAACTTGCAGGTGCTCTGCCAAAACAAATGTTTTAATATTCAGAAACTTAAGAAGTAGGATAGCGTGTGATTCTGAAGCAGTGGTCATAAAAGGGAGTTTCTGCACGCCATGGCTATTTACCATATCTAGCTGCAAATAACACTCATTTCAATTTTAACTCAGATTCTGGTAAGTGAAGAGAAACAAACAGTGAAGATAGCTTACAGTTTTTAT